AAGCCACCAGGTGAGGGCAGGGAGATTCCAGGTTATACTGAACCCGACCCTCGGCCCATCGAGGTCAGTATTGTCTACTCATACTAGGGCCGCCATTCCCCAGGTCGAGCCCATGGGCTCCAGGGGGCAGCTGTGTTCTTCTGCTCAATGTTCCCTGGCTCTCAGCTGGAATCTTACTGTGACGCAATCAGTGTGGCTGTTCTGAGCAATTCAGTAGCCCTGATGCAAGCCATCAGGGGAGGGCAGGGAGATTCCAGGTTATACTGAACCCGACCCTCGGTCCATCGAGGTCAGTATTGTCTACTCATACTAGGGCCGCCATTCCCCAGGTCGAGGTCGGGAATCCCCCATTTTGGGGGCTTCTGCCGGCCAGTGGTCCGGCTGGGAAAACCCTGCCCCCAAACAGCGATGTCACCAGGCGACGTCCCCGACATGATGACATCACCCGGATGTCCTCACGTCAGGGATGTTGTGTGGCGATGCTCTGGTCCCGGGGCATAACTCTATGGTTTGAGGGCAATTTTACCATAGATTTTTGCCCTCAAACCAGAGCATCGCTGCATGACGCCATTTCCACGTGAGATCATTGCTCCGCAGAGCTACGCGACACCCGGCAACCCTAACTCAGAGTGACAGAGGCGCTCCAGCATCACAGACAGAGGGACTTTCCCATCACCCTACTGCCGGGTCCTTTTAGCTGGAGATGCTGGGGATTAAACCGGGGACCTTCTGCATGCCAAGCAGAGGCTCTACCACTGAGCTACGGCCGCAGAGGCGCTCCAGCGTCACAGACAGAGGGACTTTCCCATCACCTACTGCCGGGTCCTTTTAGCTGGAGATGCTGGGGATTAAACCGGGGACCTTCTGCATGCCAAGCAGAGGCTCTACCACTGAGCCACGGCCCCTTCTTACAGCTCTCCAGGATCTCAGGCAGAAGTTTTTCACATCTTCTACTGCCTGGTCCTTTCAACTGGAGATGCTAGGGATTGAACCTGGGACCTTCTGCATTCCAAGCAGAGGCTCTACCACAGAGTTGTGGCTGCTTCCCCATTATCCACTCCTCAGATGGATAACTTTAGGAATAAATCGGGGGAAGGCTTTGGCCTGTATGCCCTTTTTTGGCCCTCCAGGGTAAACTGGTCAGCCACTGTGTGAGACAGGATGCTGGACTAGATGGATCACTGGTCTGATCCAGTAGGACTCTTCTGATGTTCTTACCAGAGGAAGGCCTCGGCCTCTATGCCCTGTTCTTGGCCCTCTAGAGGAACTGGTTAGCCACTGTCTGAGACAGGAGGCTGGACCAGATGGACCACTGGTCTAAACCAGCGGGGCTCTTCTGATGTTCTTCTCAGGGGAAGGCCTTGGCCTCTATGCCCTGATGTTGGCCCTCTAGAGGAACAGGTTGGCCACTGTGTGAGGCAGGATGCTGAACTAGATGGACCCTCACTGGTCTGATCCAGCAGGGCTCTTCTGAGGTTCTTCTCAGGGGAAGGCCTCGGTCTCTCTGCCCTGTTGTTGGCCCTCCAGAGGAACTAGGTAGCCACTGTGTGAGACAGGATGCTGGACTAGATGGACCCTCACTTATTTCTCAGTGCAGCCTAAAAATATTTATTTAGTTCCTTTTTATCGGGCTCTTCTTCCAAGCAGCTCTTCTTTATCGGGCTCTTCTTCTCAGAGCAGCCTCTGAGGTTGATCAAGCTGAGAGAGGGTCGCTGGGCCAAGTTACCCAGCAAGCTTAGCAGATGAGTGGCGATATGAACCCAGCTTGCCCAGGTCTCCTAGTCCACTCCTGTACCCACTGCCCCACACTGGCTTCATGTTGTTTACCACTTGGCTTCGGTCTCAGGAGAACCTTCCTCTGGGTAAAGCTGAGCTGGGTTTGACAAAGGGGGCCTTTCACATCACCTACTGCCTGGTCATTTCAGTTTAGTGCGTGGACTCTAACCTGGGAGAACCAGGTTTGATTCCCCCACTCCTCCACACCTGCTGGATGACCTTGGGCAAGCCGTAATTCTGATAAGAGCTGTCCGTGAAAAAGAGCCTTTTCTGTCAAGAGCTCTCTCAGCCCCACCTACCTCACAGGGTGTCTGTTGTGGGGAGGGGGAGGGGAAGGAGTTTGTAAGCCGCTCTGAGATTCCTTTGGGTAGTGAAGGGCGGTGTATGTATCCAATCTCCTCCTCCTCCTCCTCCTCCTCCTCCTCTTCTTCTTCTAAAGCTGAGCTGGGTTTGACAAAGGGGGCTAAAAATCAGTTAGAACCTGTCCAGCTTCCATAGCTGCAGGAGGAGAGCGGGGGGGGGCTTGCTCTCGGCCAGGGGTTCCCAGCCATTTTAACCCTCTGGGCACCTTGGGAATTCTGACAAAGGATGTGGGCACAATTACAAAATGGCTGCCGTAGGAGGTGGAGCTGGTGTCAAAATGGCCTCCGCATGAGGCAGAGCCGCATACACAGAGTATGCTCAGGGCTTTTTTTGTAGAAAAAGCCCAGCAGGAACTCATTAGCATAATAGGCCACACCCAACAGCAGAAACTCATTAGCATATTAGGTCACATCCTGACAGCACAGCTCATTAGCATATTAGACCACACCCCCATGTTACCAGAAGTGTGATCACCCAGCCACACCCACCTTTTGCTTCTTATTCTATTTACTTTGTTTATTGTCGAAACCCAGGGCCTTTTTTTGTAGCAGGAACTAATTTGCATATTAGGCCACACACCCCTAGTGTAGCCAAACCTAATGAGTTTCTGCTGTTGGGCGTGGCCTATTATGCTAATTAGTTCCTGCTAGGCGTGGCCAACACAGGAGCCAGCCGGAACTCTGTTCCTGTGCGTTCCTGCCCCAAAATAGCCCTGAGTATGCTCAAGTGCAGGGTAGGAGGGAGGGGTGATTTTAAAAAGTACCCTAGGAAGAGGAGTGAGAGGAAATAAAACCAGCACTGCGATGGGCGCGGCGGCTGAAACGTTGTTTTTTTCTGCACGGCCAGTCAGATCTCCAGCGGCCAATCAGAAACCCTGCTGGGCGAGACTCCCACATGGCTCCACCCACTTTCTAAAAACACTTGGGGGGTGCCAGCTCCTCCTCTAGGTTTATCCTGCTCCCCTGAGCCACTTCTGTAGGGATTCTGGTTTTCTGCCTTGGTGTGTAGATCTCTCATCATCACTACCAAGCATGTGAGGCATAGGATTGGCTTATTTTGTGCATTTTTCCCCAAGTCCCTTCAAAAGACTCACATGGAGGGGTGGTTGCTGGACCCAAGTATAACATTCTTGCCTTCACAAGGGTTCAGAGCAAAGATGGGTCTTTTTCGGAAACCTGGCTGTTACCTGGAATCCTTTCAAGCGATGGATAAGGGGACTGAAAATGAAATAAGACCATTGGGAGCAAGCGAGAGAGTTCCTTAAGGGAAATGCGTTGCCATTAAGTATCGGCTGCACATCGTCCTACTTGGAACCAGCCGTGTAGCCAAGAAGGGGGAACATGGAGTCCTGTGCATATTTCCAAGCGAAGTTGTTTTCACTCGACGTAAGAAACACTTTCCAAATCCCATTTTTGACACAGCAAACCTTCCAATCTGCAAACAGCTGGAGGGTTTGCCACTATCTGCATGTCTGCGTATCCGTTGGGCTCGATTGCTTACTGAGTCATGACCAGCTAGAGGTTTTCCTCCTGACGCATAGATCCGCTTGCTAAGGTCTTCCAGCTGTAAGAGAGCACATTCGAAATGCAAAGACATCTGCAAATGCTCTACGCATTTCTCTGAACGGGAGCATCTTGAAGCTTATTTAGGAAACGAAGCACCTTTACATATAGTCTCTTCTTGAGAGTAAATGGTTTGGCGAATGCAACTCATTCAGGGAGAACTGAAGCCACGCCGCAGGTGTAGGTGAGACAGGAAGAGCGAGACTGCCTTGATCCCGTGCAAAATAGTACCAGTGTGCAATGCTCCCTCTAAGCCGTGGAGTCTTGCAAGCAAAAGCTCTACTTGGTGAGCTACTGGCATCAAAGTTGTGAGCGAGCGATTTGGCTGCTGCATAAATTAGTTTGCTCTGGAGTTAATCCTTCCTGAGCTAAGACAAAGATGTGTGAGCAGGGAGTTATAAAACCGAGCTGGCTCACACTGACTCAGCTTAGAGGGAACACTGCCAGTGTGCCTGTTGTGGTGGAAAGAGGAGAAGCGTTGAGCCTGCCTCTCTCACCTCTGAGCAGCTCATGTTTTGTCCTCCGCCTTCTGAGGTCTCACCAAGGACGAGGTGTGGTTGCACACATGAGGTCTAAAACGTTGTGGGCAAGGCTCCCTCTAAGCTGTGGAGTCCTGTGAGCAAAAATTCTACTTTGTGAGCTCCTGGCATTCAGGTTGTGAGCGAGAGATTTGGCTGCTGCATAAATGAGTTTGCTCTGGAGCCCTCCTCCCTGAGCGAAGACAAAAACGTGTGAGCCGGAGGCTAACAAACTCTGAGCTAGCTCACACTTACTCAGCTTAGAGGGAACACTAGTTGTGGGTTTTAAAAATGTTACCTGACGTTTTCAGGCAGCTGCATCGTGCACCCAGGGCGTTGGCGGGGAGAGAAGGTTTCGCATGCTGTGTACAAACCCCCCCCCCGCCCTCCTGCAGATATATCCTGCTGCGATCCTGTAGGTTTTTGCGGAGATACTCTTGTGCAGAACTGAAGTTGGATCCCACATGCCCAAAGTGTAGGTCTTCAGCATCTCCTTCTGTGCAAGATCAGGGCAAAAGAGGAGAGGGAAAGGGAGCTTGTAGACAAGCGGAGTCTCCTTCCTCTCCACCGACCACTTGTTCTTTGCTGGAGACCAGCAAGACAATCGAATGCAGTCCCCCCCCCCTCTCCGCATTGCTCCTGCCAGCCAGCGTAGGCAGCTAGGGCAAGACCACAGCCGAGCACGCGCGCTCCCCTTCGTTGTGGGGAGACTTTCTGCTACACGGTCCAGTTTGCATAAAAATATTTATGCATTTCTCCATTGTATATCATTTTTACGCAGGTGCTTGTGGGATGAATAGACGTCAGAACACATACATTATGGAAAAAAGCTTCAAAGGTATAGTATCCGATGCCGGCAAGTCAACCAGTAGCACCCCGTCTGGGTATGGCAGGAAGGGGTAGCCGCCGGCCAGTCTCCATTCGCCAAAGGCAGCTAGGCGGTCAGTCGCATGTTGCATGTGTACATGTCCATGTGTACATGAATCTGCCTGTATACCGAATTAGACCCTTGGTCTATCAAGGTCAGTGTTGCCCTCCCAGACTGGCAGCAACTCTCCCAGGTCTCAGGCAAGAGGTCTTTCACATCTCCCGCTACCAGATCCTTTATAATATGGAGATGGTGGGACTTGAACCTGGGACTTTCCGCATGCCAGGCAGACACTCTGCCACTGAGCCATGGGCTCTCCTTAAACAAAGCTGCCTTTATACTAAGTCGGACTGTTGGTCTGTCAACATCGGTATTGTCTACTCAGACTGGCAGCAGCACTCCTGGGTCTCAGGCAGAGGTCTTTCACATTGCCTTTTAGCGGGAGATGCCGGGGATTGAACCTGGGACCTTCTGCATGCCAAGCAGATGCCCTACCATCGTGCCCACAGGTTGGGGCTTTTCCCTGCCGAGTTCCCATTTAATCGTTGAACTATGGACCCGCTGACGAAGGGAGCGTTGATTCTCAAAAGTTTGTACCCCGAAAATTCTGTTGGTCTCTACGGTGCCACTGGGATTGAATCCGACTTTCTACTCTAGCCGTGTGTACCTTGTTAATCCGTTAGCAAGCAAATAGCAGCAGCGCTCTTTTAGAGCCAGCCGATGTTATTCGTACTGGATCGGTAGACGTCGGGGTCCGAATCCCACCTCTGCCGTGGACTCCTCCATTGTGTGGCCGCAGGCAATTTGCATGTTCTCTCTCAAAACCCCCCCCCCCAGGTTGTGCTAAGAGAAATCATGTTGCCAACCCTGAGTCTTTATCGTGCACGAAAAGAATCCGAGATGAGGATTATTTTTTGAGACCGAGTCAGGAGGCATGAAAAATCCTGTCCCATTTCCCAGGTCGCGGCTGACACCAGCGGCTTCCATTTGTGCTTAGCGGTTTTTCCTGGCTTCCTCCCAAGACAATTAAGAGCTGTAATTTGGGGAAGGTGCTACGGATTCTCTCTTCCAGACTTCTCACACCTTCCAGGGCGCCAGGTGGGTGGGGGAAACGTCTAAGGTTGCCGTGTAAGGAGACACGGGACACTTTGGGAAATTAACATTAGCCACAAGATATTGTCTTTCTAATGCTGCATAAGAGAAGTCCTGCTAGAGGAAACCAAGGTGGGTCCAGCGTTGTGTTTCTCATAGAATCACAGAGTTGGAAGGGGCCATAGAGGGCATCTAGTCCCACCCCCTGCTCAATGCAGGATCAGCCAAGAGCATCCCTGACAAGTGTTTGTCCAGCTGCTTCTTAAAGACTGCCAGGGAGGGGGAGCTCACCACCTCCCTAAGCAGCCGATTCCACTGTTGCACAACTCTGACTGAAAAAGTTTTCCCTGATATTCAGCCGGTACCTTCCCATCCTCAATTTAAACCCATTCTTGCGAGTCCTCTGCTGCCAACAGGAATAGCTCCCTGCCCTCCTCTAAGTGACAGCCCTTCAAAAACTTCAAGAGAGCAATCTCTAAGCAGCCAGCCAGGCATTTATAGGAAATGTACACGTCACGCAACCCACCCTCCCACCCCGTTTGTTGTGTGTTCTCAGCAACTGGCTTTTCGAAGGTACACTGCCTCTGACAGTGGAGGTTCTGTTCAGCTACCATACCTAATACACATTTGGACGCCTGGCTTTCCAAGGGAATTAGCTGGGTCAGTTAACAAGTTCTGAATCACGAATGTGGGTCATGGCCCAAAATTCACCTTCATATTTTTTTTTCCCCTTTCAAAAATTCAATATATTGGTAGAAAAAAAGAAGAGGCTGAGCACATCAGAGGATACCTAAGGACACAATTTACAGGAGGCCTAAAGGGCTCGTTTTAAAAGATTCCATTCAGGGGGAGGCTTGGATGAGGCCTGGCCAGAAAGAGGCATGGTGGGAAACCGTCTGAGTCAGTGGGGGTCCCCAGCTCTGGGTTGGGAAATACCAGGAGATGTGGGGGGATGGAGCCTGGGGGGGTGGGGTTTACGGAGGGGGGACCCCAGGAGGATATAAAGCTGTAGAGCCCACCCTCCAAAGCCAGTTTGGTGTAGTGCTTAAGTGTGTGGACTCTAACCTGGAAGAACCAGGTTTGATTCCCCACTCCTCCACTTGCACCTGGCTGGGTGGCCTTGGGTCAGTCACAAGTTCTCCCAGAGCTGTTCTCTCACGAGCAGTCCTCGAAAGAGCTCTCTCAGCACCACCTCCGTCACAGGGTGTCTGTTGCGGGGAGGGGAAGGGAAAGGAAGTTTGCAAGCCGCTCTGAGGCTCCGAGTGAAGGGCACGGGGTATAAATCCAATCTCCTCTTCTTCTTCAAAGCCGCCATTTCCTCCAGGGGTTACTGCTCTCTGTAACCTGCAGATCAGTTGTAATCCCGAGAGATCTCCAGGCCCCACCCGGAGGCTGGCAACCCCAGACCCAATACGTAGCTGGAATGCTGCCCATGCCTTTTGAGTAGATTTAAGGAAGTGCAAGATTTTTTTCAGCAAAAATGCAGGGTTTGGGGTGGGCTTCCTGAGCGAAGATGGCAGGCGCCTTAGTGAGGCATAAAACACCAGCCCGAGGGGTGTGCCCTGGAGAATCCGCTGTATAATCCATAGACTTCATCAGTCCACCTCCTGAGGACGTGAGCTCCGATGATTGCAATACCTTCTGTTCATCTCCGAGATGCTTCTGTTTAAGTGTAGTGTCGTGGTTAGGAGCGTGGACCCTAATCTGGAGAACTGGGTTTGATTCCCCAGTCGTTCTCCACATGCAGCCAGCTGGGTGACCTTGGGTCAGTCACCAGTTCTCTCAGAGCTCTCTCAGCCCCACCTACCTCACATGGCCTCTGCTGTGGGGAGAGGAAGGGGAGGAGACTGTAAGGTGCTCCGAGACTCCTTCAGGCAGTGAAGGACGGGGTATAAAGCCAACTCTTCTACTTCTACGCTTCTCCTAGGCGGTGGTCTCCCATCCAAGTACTGACCAGGGCCGACCCTGCTTAGCTTCCAAGATCTGACAGGGTCAGACTAAACTGGGCATTTCTGGATGGCCAGATTCTTGTGCTATTATGACTAGGGAAAAGAAAAGATAGGGGTGTGGAGTGGTATCGTCAGGGGCAGATTAACCATGAAGCAGACTAAGCACGTGCTTAGGGCACCAGGGCCAAAGGGGGCACCACAACGTCGGGAAAAGAGTGAAAAGCTTACTTTGTACAGTCTATTGATTTATTTATTTATTTATACATTCAATTTATAGCCCACCCTCCCCGCAACGTGGGCTCAGGGCGGCTCACAAACAGGTATAAGCCAGCGCATAAAACACATTTAAAAACCATTTAAAAACCATTACGACATTATTATTAAGTGCTCTAGATGTTCCAAATAGATCGTCCATAAAGATGACATATAATGGCGTTATATCCACTCAGTGCCATCTGTTCCGCTTGGCGCTGTCATTCTTTCTTCCAGGGCCAGATGATGGTAGTACAGTAGTGGCGGCTCCTACTCAAACGCCTGGTGGAAGAGCTCCGTCTTGCAGGCCCTGCGGAACTGTGCAAGGTCCCGCAGGGCCTGGGTCTCCTCCGGGAGCTCGTTCCACCAGGTAGGAGCTGCCACCGAGAAGGCTCTGGCCTCCTTGGGACCCGGCATTGCCAGGAGATGTTGCGTCCCCGACCGTAGTGCCCGTGGGGGAACATATGGGGAAAGGCGGTCCCTTAGGTATGCTGGACCCTGGCCATTTAGGGCTTTAAAGGTAAGAACCAGCACTTTGAAGCGAATCCGGTATGCTATCGACAGCCAGTGCAGTGCTTTCGGAGCAGGCCGGATGTGGTCCCTACTAGGAAGACCCATCAGCAGCCTGGCCGCAGCATATATTGTGTTATCGTATGAATAAATGTTTGTATTGCTGCAACCTGCATTGTATATCTGGTCAGACAGGTCAACAACTAAAATGGACTGGGGGTCAGTGTGGAAAGGAGGGGGGGCACCAAGATTGGTCAGTGCTTCGGGCACCAGTGAGCCTTTATCCGCCCCTGGGTGTAGTATAGCCTGCTCTTGTCATCTCTCAGAAGCTCAGCAGGGTCAGGACCAGTCTCATCGCAGTGTCCCCTCTAAGCTGAGTCCGTGTGAGCCAGCTCACAGTTCTTTAGCCTCCGGCTCACACATTTTTGTCTTAGCCCAGAAAGGATGGCTCCAGAGCAAACCAATTGATGCAGCAGCCAAATCGCTCGCTCACAACTTTAATGCCAGTAGCTCACCAATTTTTGCTCGCAAGACTCCACAGCTTAGAGGAAGCACTGACTCAGTACTTGGGTGTGAGACCACCAAGGAACGCCAGGGTCACAACACAGAGGCAGGCAATGACAAACCATCTGTGCCCAGTCACTTGCCCGGAAAACCCTATGGGGTCACCCTCAGTCGGCAGTGACTTTACGACACTTTACGCACAAACAAAAGGGAAATGCAAGATCTGGGTGTTGCTTCCTTCCCCAAAGCAGTCCCTGTGTTAATTTGCAATATGATAATACTCTAAAGACTACGGCTATAATGTGATTCGTGTGCCGAAGGGCAATGCTGGACAGATCTCTGCCCTTAGGCGCTTACAAGTGAAATTTCCCCAGGAGGACCACCGAGGAAGGAAGAGGGAAACGAAACGCAGAGCATACAATGGGGTGACTTCAGGATCTAGAAGAGAAATAAATGCTGGTGGGTCTGAAGTGGATGGCCACGGGCAATGCTTTTTTAAAAAAAGAATTTTTATACTACCAGAGAATTCATCTGCTCGCAAGCAAAACTTTTTCAGCAAAAACTCCCAACTTTCCAAGCAAAACTCCAATCTGTTCGTTGCAGAATATTTTCCAGCATTATATATACCTTAGGCCTTTTTTCTGGCGGAACACGCTGGAACGGCGTTCCGGAACCTCTTCGACAAAATCCTTTTAAAAATGTTTAAAAGTTTGCGAGCTTTTAGTATACAGATTGAAAGCTTCATTTACCTCTTGAGAGTTTCGGCACTTCTTTAAAAAAAAAAAGCCTTGTATACCTATCAGGAGAAACGCTGCTTTGTAGTACGGCTTTCTGGGCAGAAGAGGGGTGGGTGGGCTGGATTTCAAAGCACGTTGCATTTAATGTTTTGTGGGACTCCTGGGATGCTAAACATGGAGTATCTTATCCAGGGCGCCAGAGACTTTGCTTGCTTCCAAGGTAGTCTCCCCAGCGAAAAAAAATCAATTGTGCATGGTTTCTCGGGACGGTATACATACGGCGGAAATGTAAAAAATGTTTTCCGTCAAGGGGAGGGAGTGAGGAGGGGGAAGGCGTGTCCGTGCACGATGCAATGTCGTAACGTAGCAATGAGACCCTTTTTTTTTCCCCTGGCAAGAGCCATAGTACTGAAGGGCTTGTTTTTCTTCCTACCGAATGTTCAGGAAATGGCTTGCGAATGAGTTTGGATGAGCAGATGGTTTGGAGAGACAGTGGTTCGGAGATACCTGAGGCGTAACTGGTGGGTCACGGTGCTGTGTATTTCGAGGGCTTAGAACCCCCCTCCTCCCCTCCCCCTCCCCCCTCCAAGAGGTTTGCCAGCGTACATGCTCAGAGGGCGGCCCCTGGCTCTTGTCTTGCAGACTATATGAAGGAATCGGCCTGCAGCTCCAGCACTTGTTCCCTCAACAGCAGCGAAAACCCTTACGCCACCATCAAAGACCCCCCCATCTTGATTTGCAAACACTCCGAGGGCAGCTATGTGGAAATGAAATCCCCCGCCCACCGGGACTCATCCTTTTCGGACACGCCGGCCTTGTCGACGGCCAACAAAAACATTTACGAAGTTGGTGAGCATCTCCTGCGACGCCGGCATTGCTGGCGTGGGAAGCAGGGGTGGGATTCTCCAACCAGCATCGAGGTTTGCCAGCAGCCACGCACAGGCTTCAGAGGTGTGAGGATGGACGGCCTGGGAGTGCCAAAGGTTTGGGCCAGTGGCCCTCTAGTTTTCCCCGGGACCTGTGGTGGTTTCCGCCAAGCTGACAGTGCCTGGGGAAATGTCCTGACCAAACAAAGAAGACCAGCAACCAGGAGAGCCTATATGCTAAGTGGTCTTGTTCAGTATTCAGGATTCCCAAATGTGGTACCCACGGGCACCCGCGGACACTTTCTTGGTGCCTGCCATGTGTTTTTCAAAAGCGGGTGGGGTTAGGGTTCTGATTGGCCATGCGGATTTCTAAAAATGTTGTTTTGTCAGCAGTTGCCACCACAGCACCAGGATCTCCACTGTGTGACCGAAGGTAAACTGCAGCAGCCATTTTGTAGCTACGCCCACCGCAGTGAGAACGGTTGGGGACAGCTGACTTAATGGGTCCCATAAATTATGCGACTCAGCCAAACCTGTACAGTTTCTTCCATCTGCTGGTGGTTCTCTGACCCACAAAGGTTTCTGTTGTGACAAACACAGTGGACTAACAGGGCTACCTCTTTGTGCTGATTTCATCTAACTTAATTTAGGTCGCCCAGTTTCTTGCAGACAGGCAAGGAGAAGGATTAGAGTAGTTGCTGAGATAACGGGCCGCGATCTGGCAGGTCCCTGTGTCGAATCTTGTCCCCAGACAACAACCTTCGCCTCAGGCAAATCCCCCTCAAACTCAGTCCCCTGACTGCAATGCGGGGAGGAATAAAATTGACTCAATCTAGGGCTTTCGGCAAGAGCTTACAGTCACGTAAAGTCTGCAGTGCTTTGAAATACTGAAAATCATGTATACGCCACTGCTGTGCCAGCCTAAATTCCTCTGGCCATACACTTTTAAGCACATTTTCACTGCTAGAACCAGTTTGGTGTAGTGGTTAAGTGCATGGACTCTAATCTGGGAGAACCGGGTTTGATTCCCCACTCCTCCACTCGCAGCTGCTGGATGACCTTGGCCAAGCCATAGTTCTGTCAGAGCTGTTCTCTCAGGAGCAGTTCTCAAGAGAGCTCTCTCAGCTCTGCCTACCTCACAGGGTGTCTGTTGTGGGGAGGGGAAGCGAAAGGAGTTTGTAAACTGCTCTGAGACTCCCAAGTGAAGAGAGGGTAGAAAACTGGGGATTTTTTGTACCAAATACCGCTTTTATTAGGCCAAAAATTTCCTGCCAAAAGTAGTGCCTTATTCAGAAGCAAAACAGGTAGAGTCTTGGCTTTGGACTTGCAAGGATTTGAATCCAACTGACTGTGACTAGGGCACGCTGCAAATTTTGACATGAATGCCATTGCCGATTTCAGTATCATCAGTGGCTGCTGACAAGATTTGGCTCAAGCAGCTTTTCCCTGTTTTTTGTTTGTTCTACACAGCCACCTCACTGTGGTTTGTGGTAGTTTTTGTCCAGTCCAAGAACTACATTTTCTCAACTGATCTCTCCGCCAGTGCATAAGTTACAGTTCAGTTACCAAAGTGACCAACTTATACTTTAAAGCCGTTCATCTTCTCTTTCTGGCTGCGCAGTTGGGGGCATCTTTTAAGCAACCAAAATCAGCCAGATTGCATTGTTGTGCCTTTTTTATGCCTGCCACAGTCAGGGCATAAAAAGTAATCACAACAAAATTGTTGCCCAGGTGAGCTGGGTTCATCACCTAACACAGAAGGCACACAGAGACACACTAGTAGTAAGTCTCCATTCAAAAACGTCAAACTTTTCCCCCTTTAACAAAGTGCCATTTAAAATCAGTTGTAGACGAATAGCAGGGGCTACCTGTCGTAAAACACTGTAAATGGGCAACACACTTATGTAAGCAGAAATACACATTCGAATGGCTGTGTGAGCTGAAAGGGAAGGGGGCAGTGTTCAACCACACCTTGTGCGAAGGTAGAAAACTGCCCTAGTTGGAGTCAAGCCATTGGTCCCTGTCGGGTAGCCTAACTGGCAACAGCTCTCTCTGGGGTCTCAGGCAGGGAAAGGTCTGCCCCACCACCCGCACCTAGAGGTGCCAAGCCCTGAAGTGAGAGATTTTTGCATGCAAAGTATGCCCTGTGCCACTGAAGTCATTGCTACTCTCTCTTCACCTCTTTGTCAGGTGTTGATCCTGGCCTGGCACAGAGTGACACACCCAGCTGCTGCACTGAACATATTTAGAGTAAGGTTAGGATGCGAGTGTGGGCTGCAGTTTTAGGGGAGCATCCCCTTCCCCCCCCACACACACACTGCAAATTGGGAATAAAAGTAAAGGTGTCCCTTGCTCGAAAGCCAGTCGAGTCCGACTCTAGGGTTGCGGTGCTCATCTCCGTTTCCAAGCCGAAGAGCCAGCGCTGTCCGAAGACGTTTCCGTGGTCATGTGGCCGGCATGACTACACACCAAGGCGCACGGAAAGCTGTGACCTTCCCACCGAAGTGGTACCTATTTATCTACTTGCAATTTCTTGCTTTCGAACTGCTAGGTTGGCGGGAGCTGGAACTAGAGACGGGAGCTCACTCCGTCATGCGGCACCTGAGTCTCGAACTGCTGAACGACTGACCTTCCACAGCCTGCAGTTCAGCATCTTAACCACTTGAGCCACCGCAGCTCCCCGCAAACAGGAAATAGTGTTCATTAAATCCCCCCCCCCGCTGTAGCCAGTGGCAGAGCACTTCACTTCTTCATCGCCACTCTGATTCACAGAAGAACAACAGAGTTCAAGTCCTGTAGCGCCCGAGAGACCAACGAAATTTTCAGGGTGTGAGCTTTTGAGTGTCGACGCTCCCTTTGTCAGATAACATAGGAATGGAGATCCGAGAGCTCTGTTATCCCAGGCAGAAGGTGTGTGTGTGTGGGGGGGGGGTTGCTGCAAAGGAGGAGGTCAGGATGCAAGGGCACATCTCTTCGTTGCGACCCCCTCCCACTTTCTGACTAGGATATAAGGCCTCGGGGATCTCCATTCCTACTTGTATCTGATGAAGGGAGCTTGATATTGCAAGGGTATTTACCTTTGTTTTGGAACAGCAATGTCCAAATCTCAAGTTATTCAGGATGAACACGTGAAGCTGCCTTACGCTCCGTCGGACCTCCAGTCAGTCTTGTCTACTGAGACTGGCAGTGGCTCCTCCAGGGTCTCAGGCAGAGAAAGGTCTTTCCCATCACCTCCTGCCCGATCCTTTTACCTGGAAATGCCGGGGATTGAACCTGAGACCTTCTGCGTGCCAAGCAGATGCTCTTCCACTGAGCCAAGGACCCAACCAGTTTGGTGTAGTGGTTAGGAGCGTGGACTCTAATCTGGGCAAACCGGATTTGATTCCCCACTCCTCCACATGCAGCTGCTGGAGTGACCTTGGGTCAGTCACAAGTTCTCTCAGAGCTGTTCTCTCAAGGGCAGTCCTCGAATGAGCACTCTCAGCCCCACCTACCTCACAGGGTGTCTGTTGTGGGGAGGGGAAGGAAAAGGAGATTGTAAGCTGCTCTGAGACTCCAGGTGAAGGGTGGGGTCTAAATCCAATCTCCTCTTCTCTCAAGAGCAGTCGTCAAAAGAGCTCTCTCGGCCCCACCTACCTCACAGGGTGTCTGTTTTGGGGAGGGGAGGGGAAAAGAGATTGTAAGCTGCTCTGAGATTCCTTCAGGTAATGAAGGGCGGGGTATAAATCCAATCTTCTCCCCTTCTTCTTCCCTAAATGAAGCTCCCTTCTACTGAGTCAGGCCCTTGGTCTCTCAAGCTCAGTATTGCCTACTCAGACTGGCAGCAGCTCGCCAGTTTCTCAGGCTGAGGTCTTTCCCATCACCTACTTCCCGTTCCTTTCCACTAGAGATGCCGGGGATTGAACCTGGGGCCTCCTGCACGCCAAGCAGATGCTTTGCCACTGAGCCACGGGGCCCTTCTTTGAGTCTCAAAAACGTATACCCCCAAAATCTTGCTGGTCTCTCAGGTGCCACTGATTCCAGCTGGTCTACTGCAGACCAACACCGCTCCCCTCCCGAAACTCTCTTCCCAGAAGAATGACAGCTTGCAGGGTTTCCTGTTCGAGAACCAGAACACGTGACGATGGTTTGGAAGCCTTTTAGTGTCATTCTGCTTAAGTCTGGGTGACGGGTGATTGTTTCTGGCACGGTGCATCCCGCAAGGAAGCGATTAACCGAACTGTTCCCTGTCACCTTTGCAGAGCCCACCATCAGCGTGGTCCACGAGGCCCGCGTCCGGACCACCGGCTACGTCCACGGCCCCTACGACCTGCCCCGAAACAGTCACATCCCTTCTCATTACGACATCCTTCCGGCAAGACACAGCCCGACACACGGGACGCTTTGGGAGAAGCCGTCTTAAGAAGATGCCCTCCCCTTTCCGTGGGGTCTAACCTGCCCACGGGAAAAGAGAAGACAATCCTATTTTGCTTTGGTCTGCCATACGATACATTCGGGGGGGAAGAATATAACCCCAGGGACTGGACCGAACCTCATGGACCGCTCGTTGTGGGGCCAACTTCTTGCTGCATGAACCTCTTTATTTTACAAGACGGTTTTTATACAAATCAGAGGAACATAAGAAACCTCCTTTATATACAACTGGGGGGAGGGGGAGGGGGCGGGACGACTCCTGGCTGCTGATTCCTATCCAATCCGATACTGGACAAAGAGTGTCATCTTCACTTGCTTTTAGTTTTGAAAGGGGGAGAGGGAAGAGAGAAACAAAAAACCCACGCCCATTTCCAAGTTCCTGTAGAGATACTGGTACTGTACTACCACCCGCTACATGAGCTCTTATTTGGAGACTAGAGGCCGCCCCCCCCCCCCAAAAAAAAAGTGATGTGCGTGACCTCCTTGGGGGGAAAGGAGGGCGCTGAAGGGAGGGCGGGGGGTGGGGGTGGAGTGTCACGATCCGTCACTGTTGCTGCCGTACTCTTGAGCCAGCGTATTCAATCCAGGCTTTCATTCCTCAGAATCCACTTTGGGAGAATCTATATTCCCGTTCATCCGGCTTGGAGACCGAAGTAGGCAGACTGGGGGGGGGAAGCAAACAACCAAGCAACCACCTGACCATCCGCTCAAAGCGTCTTGTCCACCTGCAGCATTTACACCACCTCCGGGAGTCCTCCTTTCTCTGCACTGTCGAACACCGTAGAAGGGAGAACTCCCGGTACAAGAAGAAGGGGACCGGACTGCATCCGACCGGCCTCGGTTGGAGCTGGCCTCCATTGGACTCGACTCCAAGAGCGTTTGCCAAATGGTGCTAATCTACACAGGCAAGAACTCGGTTCCCTCCCTGCAGGACTGCAATGCTGGGAAAAGGTTATACCTCCTCTTTGGGCAAGCTTTGGACGGAGATCGGTTGGTTATTTTCCAAGTGCAGACCGGGAGAGGAAGTCCCTCCTAGTCCATCTCAGCCACCGAGAGCCCTGGCTTCCCCTTCCCCGGTCATACCAAGACACTGAGCTGGACAGGGGCAGTGCACGGCCAAGAGCAAAACTCAAAAGACCAGAAGGGCTGCCCTCAGCAGTCCGCTTCTACAGGCCGCAGCTGACGTTTTGATCTAGGCCAGTGAGTCTGCCTGGGATGTTATAACCCCCGTTTTTTCTCTCCGCCAAATCAAATGCATACTGTTGCAGAAATTCTGGTGTGTTCTGCAGGCTCTGAGGCTCAGTTTCCTTTTCCTGTGCCATGGAAGATAGAGATGGTCAAAGTTCAAGCGGCTCATTTCCTTGTCTATCTTCTCGGACCGTGACTGTCACAGTGGTGCTGAGGAACAGCCTCTTAAAGACCAGTAAATTTATTGTAGCATAAACGTCCGCTCCTGGGCGCTCACTTTGGCAGGCGCATGAACTTGGCAGAGCGAGCGGCTGCCTCACAAGTGCTCACGCCATGATAAATTCATTCGTCTTTAAGGTGCCGCGATACTTTGTTTTGGCTGCAACAGACGAACACTGCCACCCCACTAGAAAGTGGTACTAAATGTAATTCGTTATTTTTATTTTAATGGGACAAGGTTGAGCACAGCAACAAGACAGCTCCTTCCCACTAGGAAATAGCGATTTAACGTTAATGCATGGCTCGGCGAGAACTGCAAGAGCAGAGAAAACGAAACGAGGTAAGAGCGCTAAGATATGATGGAACGAGTGAAGTGATTGACCCAGAAGGACTTGGCCTCGTGACTGGGTCTAAATGAAGGATTAGCGCACGGTAACTAGAATGAGCGCTTTCAGCAGGGTTACAGGACAGTAGCTCATTCTAGCATCTGAAATGCTTGGTTTTTACCCGGCGCCGATCTAAAGCCAAAAGGTATACTGTGCAGGCGTGCCATTGGCTACACATTAAGATGGATGGAAAATGTCAAATGCCGTAACATCTCATTGTCAAAGACCCAATTTTAAGTCAACGGGCTGAGCAACCGCTCAGGAGGCTGGGGTGCCGGATCAGCCTAGATCTGGCTTGGTGAAGTCTCTCCGTGCTACGAAGTGGCAGTATCCCAAATTTCAGGTCACAGCTAGATGGGAGCGCGAGGGTTAAGCGGGATGGATCGTTGCAGTCCCAGTACCAGACGGCTCCCGATAAATTCCTTTCTCATCTCTGTTGTCTGTCATCAGTGGAGATGATAAATCACAGGGCCTCCCAGAAAAGGGCGCTTTCGGGAGGATGTCTGATTCCAGGAGAGAGAGAGAGAGAGAGTGAATGTTCTCTGGCTGAGATTCCGGTATAACATGGGTGTAGAGGCACACGTGCTCTGTGATTTTTGCAGCATATGCCACCACAACAAGAGCACAGCGGGCCTTCTCCGACTGCTCTCATTTTTGCAAGGTTTAGGCTAGCGCGGGGGGGGGGGCGAGCAAGTAAGGACACCTACCCGAAAGCCGATGCATTAAAGTTGCCAGGAAGAAATCCTCTAGGACAGGTATGTCCAACAGGTAGATCGCGATCTACCAGTAGATCATGTAGGGGTCAGAGGTAGATCACCAGCCCCACTTGGTCTCCTGATTTGCTGGACAGGTGTTTGGGGTTTTTTTGATGATTGGTGGTATTTGATTATTGGTGCAGAGGGTGACAGAAGGTGCATTATAAATGGGGGGGGGCGGTGGAACCCAACTTTAGTGGGTTAAAATCTAATCTGAAGCTAATTTGAAACTTTATTTTCATGGTGGTAGATCACCGGCCCTTTTGGCCGGGAGAAATGGATCACTACCTGTTCGAAGTTGGACATGCCTGCTCTAGGAAACCAGTCTGACCCTGAAACAGGGTGTTCTGCTCTCGCGCTCTCTCTCTCTCTCTCTTGCGCACACACACACACACACACACACATTATCTGAATGGGGTGGCCACCACACTAACAGGGAGAGCGGAGTCAGCCAGCACCGTATATCCAAACTTAAAGCCTATCTTTCTTCCCCCCGCCCCCGGCTGTCCTTTCGTCCTCAGCTGGGAATCGACTTCAGCCCTGCCCCAACTTCCCGCTATAGCAGGACACAAAGGTCGAGCAGAAAGCCAAACGGGACTTTCCCGGAAGACTCCTCTAAGGGACATGCCCTACGGGAGGTCTTTCACCTCGGCTTTTCGGCCAGGATAAAGCTCGGTTAGCCCTGTTGCGGGGGGGGGGGGTGCCGACGCCATCCCTCAACCCCAGCAAGGATGCTCCGCTAGAGAGGTCCGAGAAGGATGAAGGAAATTCGCACAACACAGGCGATGACACTTATTTACACGAATGCTGCATGCGTGCATGGGGGGGGGGGATGAAACGACTGATCAGCAATAGCGGTTTTACTTTCCAGGAAAGCCTTATTCGAAATGTAAAGTAGCAGAACCTTATTTTGTAGGGCCTATAAGGATATATATATATATATTTTAATTACCTGTATAGAAATAATTAAAAACAAAAGACTTACCTCAGAACTAGTAATGGGAAGAGTCCTCCGCCAAGGGTTTTATGCAGACAGGGTAGCTCCCCGACCACGTACACACCTCCCTTGGAAGTTCGTATATTTAATCCGGATTTAAGGCAAAGCGTACCGACGGCTCCACAGTCGAGCGACAGCATAGGCCAGGGGTCCCCATGGGCACAGAGGCACCCACCGACACCTTTCCTGGTGCCTGCTAAAGTGTTTTTACGGAAATGGGCAGGGCCAGGTGGCGCTGTTGCCCAGCGACGCTTCCGATTGGCTGTTGGAGATTTGAATGGCTGTGCAGATTTCTAAAAACACCGTGGTAGCGGCTGCCACCACAGCACAAGGATCTTCGCTGTGTGACTGAAGGCAAGCTGCGGCGGCCATTTTGTAGCCGGCTCCGCCTCTTGCAGCAGCCGTTTTGCGGCCGTGCCTACCGCGCTGTGTGAGAATTCCCAAGGTGCCCACAGCCTCGAAAAGATTGGGGACCCCCTGGCATAGACTGCTTTGGGTGTGGGCGTCGCATTCTGGATCGTAGCGATGCGTGTGAAACTCGCGGACCGTCTGTCACAGACACACACACACGAGGAATACGGGCAACCCGGTCCCGCCCCCACAAAACGAACGAGTGTGCCAGTCTTCAGACCACAAAGAACTTTTTCCTTCCAGCATCAGCACAGGTGGCCACAACCCCGAGAGAACACGGACGCCAAGCGACTGTACCAGTTCGGACTGCTCTGGGTAGCCGACCATCTTGTGTGTGCTGTAAGCCTGGATGGCCCCAAACCAAGCGGGAAACGCGTGCTGCGTCCAGACAATGAAACCAAGGCCGGTCACAGTATATTATCACACAGATTATATATGTGTATATATATATAGCGTTCCTTTAAAGAGGACTCTCGTCACTGTCATGGCAATACTTTTTTTAAAAGCAAGATAGATTTGTAATATTTGTTGACCACGCCGAGATGGTCTACCTTGTACAAAATAAACCGGATTTCTCTCAGCTGTGTCGTTCTCCAGTGCAATCCCCCCCCCTCCTGGCCATTGACAAAAAACTCCCCAACGGAGCGGCTCTTCCCTGCACTCTGAAACCAGAAGCCACAGGTTGGACTGGGCAGAACTTCTCTTTGGCCCCTCCCTTCCACCCGGGGGGACAACCCATCCTGCTGCTGAAAGCAGCTGGCGGTGCCCCTTCCCCCCCCCCCAAAGGCCCGTTTGGGTTTTCACCAAGGGCTGATTTGGAAAGAGAGCGGTCCAAAGGAACGGAGTGGGAGGGCGCTTTCTCCTCCGCTCTGGCCAGGCACACGCAGTCAATGCCTGCTCCCCGGAGTGGGGAGAAGCCACACCAAAATCTCTGAGGCCAGCACGAGAACTTCCCGAGGCCGGGCTCGTGCGCAGGCTCCCAAACCAAGTGTGGGATTGCACAGAAACCACAAAGAAAAGGTCTTTTGCATCACCTACTGCCCGCTCCTTTCAGCTGTGGATGCCAGGGACTGAACCAGCAACCATCGCGCCATCTCTGATAGTTTCTAAGCTGCTTTTCCTTGAAACCCTACACGGCTCTTGTCAAACACTGACGGCGCAATGCTCCCTTTAAGCTGTGGAGTTCCGTGAGCAAAAATTCCATAGTTTCTAAGCTGCATTTCCTTGAAACCCTACGCGGCTCTTGTCAAACACTGACAGCGCAATGCTCCCTCTAAGCCGCGGAGTCTTGTGAGCAAAAATTCTGCTTTGTGAGCTGCTGCCATTAAAGTTGTGAGCAGCAATTCGGCTGCTGCATAAATTAATTTGCTATGGAGCCCTCCTTCCTGAGCCGAGACAAAAATGCGTGAGCCGGAGGCTACAAAACTGTGAGTTCGCTCACACTAACTCAGCTTAGAGGGAACACTGGCAGCAGTGTTCCAAGCAACACGGATGTTTCCCACCATAAAGTGTGCAAACCAAAAACCTAGCTCCCCCCCAAAAAAATCCAGATGTGCATCTCAAAAACTGATTTGCATAATTTATTCTGAGCAATCTCCACATGGCACAGAACTGTTACTTTCGTCACCTTCGTTTATCTTCAATGCAACGTTTCACTTTTTCAAACACCAAAACACCCTACGCTGCCTGTCTCCAAAGAAGCTCGCTCGATGACGCCTGAACAGTCCCCTGCAATTCTTTTATTAGAATTCCGATGAATGAATCATTTTAAATCAATCTTTAAAAAATATTCAAAAGTACAGAATGTGCATACAGTAAACAAAGCAATTTACAAAACGAAGATCGCGGTGGGGGGGCGGGAAGGTGCGTGAAAATCCCTACGAAGAGCTAGAAACGAAAAGAGGGGCCACAGCAATGCCTTCTGTGCGCTTCACACGTCATGAGCACTGCAAGACTGACAGGCGGGCTGGAAAAATGCAGCACTTTGGTGCATCTCTGGGGGAGGGGGGCATGTTCTGGGCCGGTGGCCAATTTGTGAGACGCTTCCTTCCTCCTCGTACCCCCCACACACACCATGGACACCTGGGGGCCTTTTCTCGCTTGTTCCTGGCTTCCCCGATCCCACGGGATGAACAATCTTTTAGAAGCAGTTTGCCCGGGACAAACGTCCTCACAATTCGGAATGCAATGTAAGGGTGTCCGGGAAGCCAAGAACTTTCGAGCTGGGAACCAAGGAACACGTCTCCCTGAAAGAGCCAAGCGTGGACTATCTGCTGGTTAGGCCCCTCTGTTTAATTCAGCGGGGAAACCCTAGTAGGCAGAGGAGTGCCGTTTGCCAGCGTGCCAGATCGGACGCCCCTCTCGCCAGATCCGCCGACCAGGTCTAACCCCAACCTTCTCCGATCAACGCCCTCTGGCATCGGTTGGTGTGCTGGGCTGCCAGAATCAAAGCCGGTCTTTTAAAAGTGACGGGTTTGAGTTCAAAAAGGGATTCGTTACTTAGATCGGTGAGGAACCAGGAACGGGACTTCTCCGAGTTTCCGCCGTGCCACAGAAGGAGCGAGAGAATCGCCACGTGCGCCAAAGTGAGCCCGAGTCTCACTTGGGAATTGTACGATACACTGCCGGGCGAGACGAGAGGAGCGGCTGCTCCGTTCGTGCCTGCCCTCTGCTTCTACGCTGGGCACCCGAGCACCCACCTCCTTGGCCTTCACTCGGCGGGCCTGATGTCGACTTAATTCCCAAAAGCTATCGCCAGCAGGCCATGGGGCTGGCCGGCCACTCTCGCCTGAGGTCGTTCATTCACCATGATGCCATTTTTAAAAATTCTATGCCGCTTACATTGCTTTGATAAGGAATCTTCCGAAAGCAGCACCGTCGGTGATGGGACACAGGGTGGGGGAAAACAAAAGCAGGCGGTTTCTTCAAATCCTCCAAGTTTGGGACTTGAAGCTACCGCTTCCTTGGACCGACTTCTGCAGGACAGATACGTTCACCGGTATCACCTGCAGAATCCTGTCGCACAGGGAACGCCCCCCCCCCCAAGTCCTGAAGCAGTGTCAGCAATCAAGACCATCGATCGATTGGACGTATCTATTGCGGGGGGGGGGGGGACAGGCTGACAGTAGCAAGCTGTACACAGCCTGTTCCTCCGGAAACATCCGATATTGAGGTTCAGTGGATAAAAAGTGTTTCTTAAAAAAAATTCTCAGGGGTCGTCAACTCACATTTTCTGGAGTGTCGTGATTCGCATTCCAAGCTGCAAAAGACGGGAGGGGGTGGGGGTGGCCAATCCTGGTTCTCGGCTGAATACGCCAGCACGCCGGAAAGGGGAATCCGTCGTGATATTTGCCCTGCCAGACTTAACGTTTCGATAATGCTGCAGCCACATGCAAACGATGAAGGATTCGTAATATGGAAATCAAAAGAGGTTAAGACATGGAGAACTCCAGTGAAAAGAATCAGAAAGGCCTAATTGAATGGGGACAGGGTGGGGTGGGGTGGGGATAATCAAAGGAATACCAACGTGAACCCAAAGATCTATTTCCATTTTGGAAGTGGGGGGAATATTACACTGGAAAGAAACTCGTTATATATTTTGACAGCACTGCATCTTTGGTTTGTTTTCTGTGGTCGGGGGGACATGGATCGGGACCACATTGTTGCTCGGAGACATGTCGTTCTCGCGTCTGTCGGACATTTGCTTCTGGGACACGATGCGGTAGATCTCTGGAGAGGAAAGAAGGAAGGAAAGCATTTGCAGCTGTGGTCCCAGGTTTAGAACGCGGGG